CCCCCCACCCCCGACGCGTGAGCGTCGCCTGGTACGTCGTCGACGATGGCAGCCGCTTCTCGAGCGAGCGAAGGGCGCGGCCTAGCGGTAGTAGTAGCAGTAGTAGTAGTAGTAGCAGTAGTAGTAGCAGTAGTAGTAGTAGTAGTAGTAGGAGGAGGAGGAGGAGGAGGAGGAGGAGCGGCAGTAGTGCCTCCTTCGGCCCTCTCCTCCACCCACCCCGCCGCCGCGACGGCACCTACTCCGCTAAGTCACTCAACCTGAGCACTTCTTCACCTGTAGTGAACCGGGCGCCGCCCGCCGCGACGGCGCCGCCGCACAGCAGTTGCGACTCGTAGTCCGGTGCTAGCTGCAGCCAGCCGCCGCACGTCGCCTACGCCACCCGTTGATGGAGGAGAGCGCTGACGGGTGTGGTCCTCCCCAGACCTCCCCAGACCTCCCCAGACCTCCCCAGACCTCCCCAGATCTCCCCAGACCTCCCCAGACCTCCCCAGATCTCCCCAGATCTCCCCAGATCTCCCCAGACCTCCCCAGATCTCCCCAGACCTCCCCAGATCTCCCCAGATCGCCCCGCCTCGCCTGCACGATCTCCCCAGATCTCCCCAGATCCCCCCAGATCGCCCCGCCTCGCCTGCACGAGCACCCTCGCGCCCGACTCGAGGTGTTCGCCCACCGGAGACGACTCCCTCTCCGGCAGCTCGTGCGCCACGAGCGACGGCACCACCACCTTCGGGTTAGGGTGAGGGTGAGGGTGAGGGTGAGGGTGAGGGTGAGGGTGAGGGTGAGGGTGAGGGTTAGGGTGAGGGTGAGGGTGAGCGTGAGGGTTAGGGTTAGGGTTAGGGTGAGGGCGAGGGTGAGGGTGAGGGTGAGGGTGAGGGTGAGGGTGAGGGTTACCACGAGCGACGGCACCACCACCACAGTACAAGGGGCTGAGAGGTTGGACGACCGAGTGGAGTCGTCAGAAGGCACGGCCAGCGCGTCTGCTGCCCGCTCATTAGTGTGGAATGGCCAGCTAGTCATCAGCAGCTAGGCCCGGCCACCTCGTATGCCACTGGCGCGACAAAGCGCACGAGGTCAGACCGGCCGGCGAGCGCGGCGGCGAGGGCGGCGGCGGAGAGCTGGGGAGGGCGGAGGCGGAGGAGCTCTCCGAGTCCGACCTCGCTCCCGTCAATCAGCATCCAGCACTCGCCAGTCGGGCTCGACGAGGACATCGCGTCGAAGCCGGGCGCGTTGTGTGACAGCTTCACCCAGCCGTCGCGCACCGCAGACGCCTCGAAGACGGTGCCGCGCGTCTGCTGGCCGACCGGTTTGGCCTTGACACTCGGCTCCGCCCGCACGAAGCACGCGCGGTGCACGACCTCGTAACGTGGAGGCCCGGCGGCCGCGGCCGCCTTTCTCGCGAGCTCCGCCTCGGCGGCGGCGGCATCGCCGCCTGACTCGAAGAAGGCGACCCACTGGTCCTCCGCCCACGCGGGGAGCGGAGAGGGCGGATCGACGTCCTCGGCGAACAGGTCTGCCTGGAGCTCGAGCACGGCAGCCTCGTCGAGAGGCTTCTTCGACATCGGTCCGCAACTCTCTGGGGAGTCCCAGGAATCTCCCTTCTCGAGGTCTCGAGGTTTGTATGTTATACCAAAAGGAGGGCTACACGACGCCCTCTACGCTGGGGTGCTCGAGGTTTCTCGAGGTTCTATGTGCACGCCAACTCAGGGTGTGTGGCAGCCACGCTGGCTGTGTGTCTTGTGAGCTTGTTTGTGTCTGTGTGTCGCTCGTGCGTGTCGTCATCATCTGTCATACATTGAGCAGCGGAGGTGTGCCGAGGGGGACCACCGGGAGGCGGTAAGCCGTCGTCGCCCGGCGCTGCATGCAGCACCGTGGCGATGGCGCTAAGAGGTTCCTCTTTTCCGCGCCCCCCCCCGCAAGGCGCGCGATACACTGTCCCGCGTCCACCCATACCGCGTTGGTGTCCAGTCCGAGCCTGACTGTTGTTCATCTTTCTACATACATACATACAGGTTCTCGAGGTGGATATCCGTGTGTGTGTGTGTGTGTGTGTGTGTGTGTGTGTGTGTGTGTGTGTGTGTGTGTGTGATACTCACTCACTCTGGCCGCGACCGTTGGGCAGCGAGGATTGGTGTGACGCGATTCACGCAGGCGTGATTTCTGGCGGCCCAGTGCACGGAGTTGCCCTTTCTCCGACTGCCCCGGCTAGTTCACGAGTTTCGCGGGAGTGACCCCATGCGTCAAACCCTCGAGGTGGATATCCTTTGGCCGTTGGGTAGCGAGGGCTTTCAAGCAGAGCTACTCAGTACAGCACCAACGCCTTCGGCGACCACTGCCTCAATTCCGCCAACGCCACCCACCGCCACAACGCCGCACTCGCGGCCGCGCCCCCCCCGCAAGGCGCGCGATACACGGCCGTCCATCCACCGTGCGCTCACCAACCAGCGTCACGAGCGACGCCCTGCCGGTTGGCTCGATCCAGCTGGCCGACAAGGGCGACGGGACCCCCGCCTCCAAGCACCAAGGCTGAGCGGAAGGGCTACTACGCCCCTAGCTACGCCCACGTCAACAAGGGACACATCCCGGACTTGATCCGCTTTGGCTCCACGACTACGTGCTGGGAGTTCAAGTGCTACACTCCGTTCCTCCCCTCCGGCGCAAAGGGCAACGGCTCTGCCCGCTGCGGAGGCGCCGCCTCCCGCGCCGATGGGCACTTCATCGCGCTTGCAACACCGAGGAGCACCACTCCGTCGTCGTCCTCGGTCACCCCCACAACGGGATGACCCGGCCACGGAGGAGCAACTGGACCGTGTCAGCGGCGACGGATGGGTGGCAGCGAAGGACGGTGATTACGCTGACGCCCTCGCCAAGGGCCACACGGTCATCCTCCTCGTGACCGAGTCGACCGGAGCATTCTCCGCCGACCTCGATCCGCGTCCTCCGCCAACTTGCAAACGCGGAGGGCCTGCACCACCCAGGCACGCCGGCACGCGGTAAAGCGCGAGACGCTCATCCAAAGAGCGCCCCGAGGTATAGAATTCTTTGTATCTATAGAACTCTTTATTCACCCAATATGCAAGGCTACAACAACGCCCTCTATGTTGGGTCTAGAATTTTAAAAATATGCAAGCCTCTCTGAGAGCTAGAATTTAAACAAAACAACTCTCTCTGAGAGCTAGAAATAAATAAACAAAGTGCAGTGGAAAATCCAAAATCCAAATCGCAAACATAGAAACCCAAACACACACAGCCACGTGGCATAGGAGAGCAGGAGGTGAAAGGAGGTCAGCACAAGTTCCAAAGGACGCACGAGCGAGAAGCACAGCAGAGCAGAAATAAAAAAAGCACGCAAACGAAGGGTTTGGCGCTGCGCTGCTCTCCGCCGTGGGCTGTCTTCAGCCGCACTGAGGCCGGAACGGATGTGTTGTAATATAGATATCGTTATCGACACGGCTCGAGACGCGATGAGCCGAGACAATGGACACGTGCCAGCTGCCACGCGCGACGTGGCGCGATAAAACCACACCGATATACACGCTCATAACGTGTGTTCCTTTTTTCGGCCTGGTTGCTCTCACACTTTTGACGAGAGCCTGGACACGTTTTGGCGACGGCGGCCCGCCAAACGGTGGAGCCACGACTGTCTACGGCACTCACATACCTCGTGCTGCGCCTGGTCCTCCGCCCGCCGCCACGCCGGTCTGGCATCGTGCTCCGCGAGCAGGGCCCGTGACCACTCACGTAGCCTGCTGGCGGGAAACGCCCACCGTTTGAGCCTTGGCTTGGCTCCCGGCGTGTGAGAAATGCCAGGCACATGCTCGTGCACAAACACCACCGCCTCGCTTCCGACCAGGTGCAAGTTCGCAGCGGGCTGGTGGAGCGACCGCTGCCCCACATGAGTGTGACTGTGCCTCGAGCCCAGCTTGACGCGGCTCCCGGGCGAGCCGTAGTCGTCGGTCGCGCACCGCAGAAGCGGCGCCGGGGCACTCCAACGGACTCCGTCACGCGAGACTGCGAACGCGATGCAGCCAGAGCTGCGGTGCACGACCGGGAATAGAGCGAGGAGAGAGTCCGCCAGCACCGGGTTCTGCTGCACCAGGAAGAAGTAGATGTCGCCGTCGCAGTATGCGTAGTTGTCAATGCGGATCATCTGGAAGGGCGACCACGTACTCACTCCTTCCTCGCTTGGCAAGAGTGGGCTCCCCTGATCGGCCGTCGAAAGTTGCACGTAGCGCTGGCCGGTGTGCACTGGATTGGCTCGTGCATAGAGCATCGCACGTCTACACGCAAGACAAGGGTGGGGCTCGCTATGTGGCGCGGGGCCCTCCGTCCACGGGCGCGCGCCCTCGATGGAAGACGAGCGAAAGGCGGCCATCGAAGACGCAGCCAGGCAGGCCGTCCCCGCGCAGGCGCCCCCGCTTTGGCAAGCGGCCCTGGACGCAGCCGCGATGATTGGGACCTATCGCCGGCGCGACGAGCCGCCACGTCGACTCGGCTGGTGTCAGGTTGCTAAGCGCCCCCGCAGCTCTGCCATCGCGCAATGCCACTCTCCGAGCAGAGGAGTACAGCAAGCCGGCTGAATGAGGAGCGCGACGTCGGAAAAGGCGAGACGGAGGGCGACACCGCGGCCCACTTCATCGCCGACATTGCCTTCAACTACTACCCGCAGACGGCGGTCAAGTTCACCGATTTCCCTCACCACCTCGCGAAGACCATCGAGGGCGACGCGGCTGAGGCGGACGCGCTGGTCTCGAGTGCGTGGGACCACAAGAACATCGCGCTGCTCGAGCCGACGTCCTCGTGCGGCGCTGGCGACCAGAGCAGTCAGGCGTGGGGGATCTCGGTCTTCAAGGTGGAGGAGCACCGCCCCTGCACGGACGGCGAGACGGCGTGGGAGGGACATCCTTGCGTCCACTACTCCGGCTACGTCTCGGCGGCTACGTCCAACTTTGTCAACGTGAATGAGGGCCGGTTCGTCTGCCAGCTATTCGTTGACTCAATCTGCAGCCTGCTCCAAGGTATGTATGCCTGCTAGGCCGCCTGGTGTGGTGTGGCGTTGCGGGCTTCTGCTGTGTGAATGAGGGCCAATTCCACATGGTACGGGACCCCTGTCTGCTGTGTGAATAAAAAATTGTTTTCTTAACTTCTTGCGGCGAGGGCTGCAGTGGCACGCGCACCCCAGAGGCGTGGATGTGGCCCCCGTGGATGTGGCCGATCTGCTAGATTCTTACGCAGTGTCGTTACGCAGATTCTTCGCCTTTCTATCGAATCTAATCCAAAGAAAGAGCACAGCACACGTTACAAAACCTTGATTTTGACAGGTGTGCCGCCGTCTAGGCGGGGTCGCAGCTGCCTGGAAGGCACCGAGAGGGACAATAGTGTCGCCGCCGGAGACGACTCGACGACGCTGAGATCGGAGATCAAGCTCTGACAGGTCGCACGTCGCTCCTTTGACGCCGACGTGACTCACCCGTGCAGATCACATCAGGACACGGTCTCGACGCGCTCGGTACGACGCCTGCGACCCGTCTCGGGTCAGGTGGCACGAGGCGCTCATCGCCTACCAGCGCTGCCGTGCAGGTTGCCACGACGAGGTCGAGAACGCTTCTATACGCTCGCCGAGCCTTTCTTTCCATCCCATTAGGCAGCCTGGGAACGGTG